TAATATTCTCCAAATATGTGGGATCTAAAGTTGACACTCTTCCAAACCCACTTACAATATTATTGCAAACAATATTATCAATCTCATATTCATCATGGGGATTAAATAAATTTTCAGGATCATAAGAAGAATCGCCCCAATCATGATCATTGCAACAAGCAGTAGACATAGCAAAACTAGCATCCCCAAGCTTAGGGTTTTGCATATTATTAGCACAATTGGCATCTAGAGAATTTATAGTAAAATCATTGAAATCATGCTTTTCATTGAGGGAGCTATCAAGCATGGGTGCAATAGCAACAATCTCATTTTTAACATAAGGAACTATAGCAAATTCGTCTTCATAAATATTAGCGTCATGGCCACAAGAATAGCAAGCATCATGTTCATCAAGGGATATTTCAACCAAATCATCGGAATCATCATTATCTATAGATTCATGCATATCATTATTTTGTTCCAAAGCAACGGTCATTCTTTCAATAGATTCTTGGAGATAGACATTATGAGCAAGGTTTTCATTGCAATATTTAAGTATGACAGAATTTTCAGATTTGTTGAGAGTAAAATCATACTTTTCAATCAAAGAAGCAACTTCATGAGCACCCTTAAAAACGACAAATTCTTCAATTTGTTCGATATCATAGTAACTATAAACACCTCTTGCATAAGAAGATAAGATTTCATTATCATTGAACTCACATAGGTAGGGAAGGTGTTTTTTAGGGTTCTTAGTGCAACAAGTAAAATCACACATTTCACAAAGATTCCAAGCATAGCATAGCAAACTATTTATATGATACCGTAAGAGTCTCCCTTTTTCATACAAACGATGACACACAAAATGAGCATGCTCATCTAAAGATTTCCCATCAACTAGGCTAGTTGGGGTTTCAGCACGAGCGCATAAGGATCGAAGATGATCCAAGTAGAACACTTTAAGTGGATCCATATCAATAGATTTTTAGCAAGCAAAGATGCAAGCAAATAGAAGGCACGTGGAAACACAAACAAAGATACATACGGGAAGAAGGAAAACGGAAAAGAGAGGGCGAATAAAACGGCAAGGGTGAAGTGGGGGAGAGGAAAACGAGAGGCAAATGGCAACTAATGTAATGCGGGAGATAGGGATTGTGATGGGTACTTGGTATGTTGACTTTTGTGCAGACTCCCCGGCAATGGTGCCAGAAATTCTTCTTGCTACCTCTTGAGCACTGCGTTGGATTTCCCCGAAGAGGAGAGGATGATGCAACAAAGTAGCGTAAGTATTTCCCTCAGTTTTTAAGAACCAGGGTATCAAACCACTAGGAGGCTACACTCAAGTCCCTTGTACCTACACAAAACAATAGCTCAACGCAACCAACGTGATTAGGGGTTGTCAATCCCTTCACGGTCACTTACGGGAGTGAGATCTGATAGAGATGATAGATAATATTTTTGGTATTATTGATATAGAGATGCAAAGTGAAAAGTAAAAGGCAAAGTAAAAAAGCAAAGCAATAATAAAGTGATGGAGATTGATATGATGAGAATAGACCCGGGGGCCATAGGTTTCACTAGTGGCTTCTCTCAAGAGCATAAGTATTCTACGGTGGGTGAACAAATTACTATTGAGCAATTGACAGAATTGAGCATAGTTATGAGAATATCTAGGTATGATCATGTATATAGGCATCACGTCCGAGACAAGTAGACCGACTCCTGCCTGCATCTACTACTATTACTCCACTCATCGACCGCTATCCAGCATGCATCTAGAGTATTAAGTTAAAAACAGAGTAATGCCTTAAGCAAGATGACATGATGTAGAGGGATAGTTTCATGCAATATGATAAAAACCCCATCTTGTTATCCTCGATGGAAACAATACAATACGTGCCTTGCTTCCCCTTTTGTCACTGGGAAAGGACACTGCAAGATTGAACCCAAAGCTAAGCACTTCTCCCATTGCAAGAAAAACCAATCTAGTAGGCCAAACCAAACTGATAATTCGAGGAGACTTGCAATGATAACCAATCATACATAAAAGAATTCAGAGAAGATTCAAATATTATTCATAGATAGACTTGATCACAAACCCACATTTCACCGGTCTCAACAAACACATCGCAAAAAGAAGATTACATCGAATAGATCTCCACGAGAGAGGGGGAGAACATTGTATTGAGATCCAAAAAAGAGAGAAGAAGCCATCTAGCTAATAACTATGGACCCGAAGGTCTGAGCTAAACTACTCACACTTCATCGGAGAGGCTATGATGATGTAGAAGCAATCCGTGATGACGGCCCTCTCTGGCGGAGCTTCGGAACAGGCTCCAAGATGGGATCTCGTGGATAAAGAAAGTTGCGGCGGTGGAATTAGGTTTTTGCCTCATGTTCTGTTCGTTTGGGGGTACGTAGGTATATATAGGAGGAAGGAGTACGTCGGTGGAGCACCGAGGGGCCCACGAGGTAGGGGGCGCGCCCTAGGGGGGCGCCCCCACCCTCGTGACCGCCTCTTTGACTCCTTGGAGTAGGGTCCAAGTCTCCTGGATCACGTTCGGTGAGAAAATCACGTTCCCGAAGGTTTTATTCCGTTTGGACTCCGTTTGATATTCTGTTTCTTCGAAACACTGAAATAGGCAAAAAAAAATTGCAATTCTGGGTTGGGCCTCCAGTTAATAGGTTAGTCCCAAAAATAATATAAAAGTGGAAAATAAAGCCTAATATAGTCCAAAATAGTAGATAATATAGCATGGAGCAATCAAAAATTATAAATACGTTGGAGACGTATCAGTCAGCCGTGTTACGCGCTGATGGTACGGGCTCTAGTACCTCGTCGTCGAATTGAGGTAGCAGCTTACGCTTCGGGTAGCTTTTGGTTGGTCGTGCAAGGCTGTATTCCTCGGCTGCCAGGACATTAGTCCATCTGTTGTTGAGCGTATCCCGTTCGACTTGAAGCCATTGCTGCTTCCTTTTCAGGCTCCTCACGGTTGCGATGAGGTGTTGCCTAAAGCGTTCTTGCTCGAGGGGCTCCTCTGGCACGATGAAATCTTCGTCACCGGGGCTTATGTCGTCTTCGGAGGGTGGCATGTAATTGTTGTCCTCCGAGTCCTCGCTTCCGACTGGCTCATCAGGGTTACCCTGCCCCTCCTCCCTATCGTCATGTTCGGGTGTTGGTTCGACGGGGGCATCTGGGTCTTCGGCGTTCTCCGAAGTGTTATTGTCTCCATTGCCGGTACTGCTTTCCTTGCCACGGCGTGATTTTGAACGGCGTCGCTGATGCCGCTTCTTTGGTGGTTTACCAGTGTTGTTGTCCTTGATAGGGTCCTTACCGCCCTCACCGCCATCCTCTCTTGGCGTATCTACCATGCATACGTCGAATGTGGAGGTGACCGCCCAGCGGTGGTATGCGACGGGTTTTGGCTTTGGTCGTCTCCGGCATCAATGTCCATACCGTAGATGTCTTCGGAGTTACGGTCAAACATGTCAGTAAGGTCGTCGACAGTGGCTATGAAGTGGGTGGTGAGTGGGACATAAAATTTCCCGCCCTCAGCCCCTAGTCCGGGCTGGGCGTAATTCGAACGTTGCTCCTTTGTAATGACAAGTGACCGCATTAGGTCCAGAGCCTCGCTTGAAGGCGAGGTTCGGCCAGGGGAAAGAGAGTCCCTGGAGTACGGCGGGAAGAAAATCTCTTGGCCGGGCTCACATAATGCGGACTCCGAGGGTTCGGGGCCAGTGCTCGGAGAAGAGTCCGGCTTCATGATGATTGCCGTTGATACTACTTCCTCTGGCTCTCCCATGCTAGGCTCAATGGCCGCAAAGAGTCTGGCGGGCTCGAGAATCCCGTCTTCGGACCTGGTGATGTGCTCCGGATCTAAGGCAAGAGCGGGGGTTGAGGTCGCGAACCCTTGGAAGATCAAGTCTCATCGGATATCAGTGACATAATCCAGGCTTACAAAACTAATCTGGTGATCTGGGGCGTAGCTATCGATCTGCTCTCGACGGCCAAGCGAGTTGGTCCGCAGTATGAACCCGCCGAACACAAAGATCTGGCCGGGGAGAAAGACCTCCCTCAGAGCAGTATTGTTGTAGATGATGGATGGCACCATCGAACCTTCTAGCGACGACACATCGGATCTCTCTCATTGAAAGCACCAATGTCGGTGTCAAAACCGGTAGATCTCGGGTAGGGGGTCCCGAATTGTGCGTCTAAGGTCGATGGTAACAGGAGACAGGGGGCACGATGTTTACCCAGGTTCGGGCCCTCTTGATGGAGGTAATACCCTACTTCCTGCTTGATTGATCTTGATGAATATGAGAATTACAAGAGTTGATCTACCACGAGATCATAATGGCTAAACCCTAGATGTCTAGCCTGTATGATTGTGGTTGCCTCTACGGACTAAACCCTTCGGTTTATATAGACACTAGAGGGGTCTAGGGTTGTACAGAGTCGGTTTACAGAGGAAGGAATCTTCATATCCGAACGCCAACCTTGCCATCCACGCAAAGAAGAGTCCCATCCGGACACGGAAGGAAGTCTTTTGTCTTGTATCTTCATGGCCCATCAGTCGGGCCCACGTCACATAGCCCGGACGTCCGAGGACCCCTTAATCCAGGACTCCCTCAGTACCCCCTACTCGAGATCGGCCGGTTTTGACACCGACACTCTTCTCATATCAAATTAAATTTGGAAAAGTGGCGGTCTCTTATCGACACTCTTCCAAACAGAAAGTTGTCATGTTTCACAACTAAAGTTGTCATTCTCGGATAAATAAATTTGACATCAAAAAACGTCATGACGAAATTGCTTCGTGCCACACGTGTGGCACTTATCATATATACTAATCTGGTTCTATTCCGTATTGTTGAATCTCGTGTTCTCGCAAGTAATGCATGATTATGTTAGTGCAAACAACCAAATACGAGGAACACTGCTATTTCTTGTGTAGAGAATAGTCAAACTGTCAAAGTCACAAAGCTTTATCTCGATAGTACTATATGCAACCGGAGGCAAGTCAATCATCAGCGCCGAAGTCCGGCTCACGCGGCTTGGGCACGGGGACATGGATCATGATATCCCCTTGATCCCGCTTGGTGGACCGCTGCCTGTGCACGCCGCGCAGCGCGTTGGCCGCGAACCGTGACACGAGTATGGTGGTTTTGAAGCTCGACGACCGGCCTTCCTCCTCCTCCTCCCTGCGCCGCTGCTCGGCCGCCTTCCGCTTGAGGTGCCGGCGCCAGGCGGCCTGGACGTAGGTGGCGGCCCAGGTGCGCCACTGCTGCGAGTAGAAGCGGAAGGTGTGCTGCACCTGCTTGCTGTGCATGCGCCGGAACTGGCCCGCCACGAACTTGAGCTCCTCGGCGTGCAGCGCGAAGGACTCGACCTCGGAGAGCGCCATGACGGTGCGCGTGGAGGAGGGCAGGCTGACCCCGGACTTGGGGTCCAGCGCCCAGGTGAGCAGCTCCTCGCCGCAGAAGTCGCTCTCCTGGAGCATGCTGCGGTTGAAGAAGCCGCTCCGGCCGCCGTCCGTGGTGATGCTCTCGAGGCTGCCGCGGATGATGAAGAGCATCTGGTCCACGGGGTCCCCCTCCCGGATGATGTAGGTCTGCTCCGTGTAGAGCGCCGGCTTGAGGCGCTCGCAGATGGCGTCCAGGAGGCGCTCGTCCATGTTGGCGAACAGCGGCACCCTCCGGACGAGGCCCAGGCAGAGGTGGCGCTTGATGTCGCGGCGGAGGTCCTTGGGGAGGTTCTGGACCAGGGCCTCCTCGTCCACGCCGCGGGTGTTGATCCACTTGTACTGGTCGTAGCGCCGGACGCGGTCGCGCAGCTCCATCGGCAGCAGCCGGTGGTGCATCCACTGCTCCGAGTCGCGCCGCTTCACCCGCATCTCCTCCAGCCGCACGGTCAGCGATTGCAGATACGTCTGCAATTCGATTCGATCTTGTGAATGAATGATGAATTCGATCGCCATTAATTAGGATATATAGATTGTTGACCTGAATGTTTCCGATGAGCATGGCCATTAGGATGAGGCCGAAGGTGGCGAGCGTAATGGCGAAGAGCGACTCCCCGGTGTAGATGGTTGTCTTGAGCCCTTGGCCCAGCGTACTGTTCGACCAGATTAATTAGTGAGAAACTACAAGCAAAATAATGTTGTCTTGTTGAGGGAGTAATTTTGTTACCTCAAGTTGGCGAGGCCCCACCAGAGGCAGAAGAGGAGCTTGGTGGTCATGTCTTTGGAGGTGGTCACGGCCGACGTGACGGCCGACGAGTACATGCCGTAGTCGAAGGGCATCTCGCCGTCGTCGGTGGGCTGGCAGTTCTCGGTGATGACCTGCCTGATCACGGTGGTCCACTCCGTGTACTCCTCGTTGCTCTCCGTCTTGCCGCAGTACATGTAGATCTGGTTGCACCCTGGGAACTCGTTGCACGAGAAGCGCCAGCAGTCCGTCACCCGCTCGATGGACAGCAGGTACCAGAAGGCGCCCACGATGTGGCTGGCCAGCATGTACCACAGCAGGTAGTAGGCGGCGCCGGCGAGGGCCGTCTCGGCGAACACGCCGCTGGTGCGCTTGAGCTCCGTGGACAGCGGGTATATCCGGACCAGCCGCGGCACGTACTGCGCGATGATGATGGACAGCAGCCTGTCCTTGGTCTCCAGCACCGCCGTCTTGTCCTCCCGGTACAGGAACTTCCAGATGACGATCTGCGGCAGCGGGAGCACGGAGAAGACGTCGGCGATGAAGAAGCGGCGGCAGTAGCGCTTGGCGATCTCCACGGTGTCGATCACCAGCTCGCCGCGCCCGAACACCCTGGAGGAGGGCGCGATGAAGGCGGTGCGGAACTGCAGCGCGATGCGCGCCAGGAAGAAGATGTCGAACAGGGTGCGGATCACGGCGGTGGAGATGGCGAGGCTGTGGTCGATGCCGATGCACAGGTTCGTGTTCTTCTCCCCGGGGAGCTGCTCCTCCCTCACCCGGGGCCCGTAGAAGAACATGGGGTCGATGGCGATGGAGATGATGCAGGAGATGAGGAAGCTGCGGTTGAGGCGTACCAAGATGCGGTCCTGCGGGTCGAAGATCTTTTGCGACGTGTTCTTGAGGTCCTCCTGGAACACGGCCGCCATGGCCGCGCCCGTGCGGATCGACCGGCCCAGCGTGCGCAGCTGCGCCGAGCCATGCGTGATCACGTCGCGCGCCAGGAGCTCCGGCTGCGCCAGCCGCCGCCGGGACGCGCCCACCACGCCGCCGTACCCGATGTGGAAGGCGGACCGGCGCCGCTCCCCGCCCCCGCCCCCGGCCATGGACGACTCGTACGACATCCCGCTCGCGCTCGCGTCGTCAGCAAGCCTAAGCTATATATACGAGGCAGAAACCAAACGTCCATGCATCCATATATTATCCCCACCAATCATATAAGGGATCCCTCATGAGATGAAATGCATCCGGCATCTGAACTTACGAATTTCTTCTTGCCGCCGTCGATGAATCGCGTCTTATGCCGGGCACTGCCGAGCATGATCTGCTAGCCGCCAAGGAGGCCGCTGGCTGATTCCATTCATTCAGAGCACTGTGGACATGAACGAACCAGAGGCTCGTTCGTCCCCTCCTCTGGATCCTGCGTGCACAGCAGAATTCTGCCGCGGAAGCAAGAACCAGCCGAGAATTCCTATCTGCAATCAAAATTATACCCGTAATAAGAACAACAAGAAGCCTCTCGAACGGATGGCAAGAAGGCGAACCTGCAATTAATCTCCCCTCTCATTCATCAGAAAGGAAGAAAATCCCAATCGCTCGCTCGCTCGCTCGCTGCATCGACCGCAAACTTTTCGCTCCCCGTTTACAGGGCTAAGCGGGACACTGCGGCTGATGCGGCATGCGGCAGTGGCTGGCCGCCACACACCGCTATAATTAGCGCGGGCGTTTGCGGCAGCCCGCATGCACCCGCCAGCGGACACTAGTATTCATCGGCATCAGCTAGAGCTGCATTAGCTCAGTGCAAAAATTCAGACAACAACATGGTCACTGAAAATTCAGATAACAACAACATGGTCACTGAAAATTCAGATAACAACAACATGGATGCTTATAACTATCAAAAGTTCGGATTTTAGCAATAGGCAAGAACGGATCCTTGCTCCACTCTAATTATATACATGCATGCATTAAAATGATTAATTTTCCTTTCACATGCCCTCCTCCCTCTAATTACATGCATATATGCACTAAAAGACGAAAAGTTGATGTCATCCTAGATTCTTTCATTTTTCAAATTTTAAAATATTTTGTAGCTCAAACCGTCGCTTCGGTTGAAAATCTGTCTTCACAAAAAAAATCTTCTCGACGAGATCTTCGAAACTAGATCTCGTGTTGGTATATTTTGATGACTTTTTCTCGGACCAAAAGTTACCACATCTGGGCTACCTAATTTATCACATTTGTCATACATAAGTTACCGTGTCATTTACAGAAATGTTTTCGTGGGTGTGTTTTCAGCAAACTTTTATCCCAGGGTCAAAAGGTGATTATGATGTTTGTAGTAAGTTATCAGCTTTGTTGTGTATATTATCATGTTGCAGAAAAGTTATCGGGGTATGTTTTTCAACAATTTTCATTAACTCGGTCAAAATTTACCGCGATATTTCTATACGAGTTATCAGCTCTCATGTGTGTGTATTATCATGTTGTTTACACGTGAGTTATTTGGAGGTATTTTTTAACAACATTTTTCCTTGGTCAAAAAGTTACCACGTCTGGATTAAGTAAGTTATCAGCTCTATTGTATATATACTATCATGTTATTTACACAGAAATTATCAAACAAACTTTTATCCCGGGTCAAAAGTTACGTGGGTTTGTAGTGAGTTATCAACTCCATTGTGTATAATACCGTGTTATTTGCACACAAAAGTATCGGGAATATGTTTTTCAACAAATATGCCCCCCCTCCGCGGTTCACCTAAGTATCAGGTATGCAGTGCTTCTATTACCATGATATTCACGCAAGCGTTATCGAGGTTATATTTTTCAACAATTTTTCCTCGGGGTCCAAGTTATCATGGTGTTTGTACCTATCATGTATATGATGCGTTATTACCATGATGTTTATACAAAAGTTACCGGGGGTACATTTTGACAACTTTTTTCCTTCTGGTCAAAGTTGTTGTGGTGTTTGTGCCTAAGTTATCAGGGATGCCATGCAGAAAAAACCGTGTTGTTTACACATAAATTCTCGGGGAGATGTTTCAATAATTTTTTCACCCTTAGTCGAAGTTACCATGACATTTATACATAAGTTATCGGGTCCCAGTGCACAAATTACCATAACATTTGCACAGAAGTTACCGTGGTATGTTTCAACCCAAATAGTCCCTCATGTAAAGTTGCCATGATATTTACAACGAGGCTACATGGCAAAGTATACAACTTGTTGTTATATGGGAGACTACAAGACAACTTGAGGAATCCAAAAAAAAACACAAGAAAAAAAATGTTTTTTTGGCTCATATGAAAGTGAAGAAAAGATTAACTGTCATATTTCTACTTATTGGACAACAATCAAGGCAGGGTGAGTTGGTCAATACACCTTTGCTACATCGTAGGGGTCGTTGGTTCGAGCCCCACTTTAGACGATTACTTTTTCTTGAAAATTTCACATAAAAGGTTGATATGCATAACATCAAATATGTGATGTGCATGGTCATAGACACCACAAGCAAACATTTTCAAACTCATTCACCATACCATAGCTCTTCTTCACTGCCACTAAATTGCTCAGAGAAAATAAAAAGTGCTATCATTAGCGCTCGATGAGTGAATCAAAAGGATGCACAGACAATCAAATGGAAGAAGATAATGCCTTGAAATTAGTTTCATGGACAAAGCACGAAAACTATCAAAAAAAGTGTTTTAATTGTGGTGACGTCACTCTATAGGTCAAGTATGATGATTATCAGTTACCTTAATAAGATACGTGTAGTGGTGTGGTGGTTCCCCGTGATAGGTATTTGCCAGGATACTCGAGTTCGAACCCTGGCTGTGGCAATTTATTTTTTCGCCCACGATTGCAGTTTTGAAACGAAAAAAGCGAAAAGAAGGAATCGGGAACGATCGGGACTGGGAGCGATCTGGTCGTTCAGATCTTTCTAGCAGTAGTACCATTCTAGGATGCTCATAAGTGTTTTAGTAATCAGGTGAAAGATACTACTCCCTTCGTAAACAAATATAAGAGCGTTTTTTAAAGGAACACACTGCATTCCATTAATTAACACGTAGCTAGCATGCTGCGTGAAGAGGAACTCAAATGGTACCAACACTCTAACTCGCAATTTATCCTGAAAGGTGATTCGAATACTAGATATTTCCATGGCGTCGCCAATAGCAGACGCCGGAAGAAACTTATTCATTCACTTCAACAGGATGAGGGCACAATTGAGGGACATGAGCAACTTAAATCTTATATCACTAATTATTATAAAAATTTGTTCGGAGCCCCAGAGGAAGGAAACTTCTCGATGGATGAGTCTTGAACAGATGACATCCCTCAGGTTTCTGATGAGGAAAACAACCTTCTAACAGCACCATACTCTGAGGAGGAAGTTAGAAAGGCAGTTTTCCTAATAGTTGTCTACCTTGCATAAAAAAGGTAGACATATCCTAGACGGAGTTGTTATCCTTCATGAAACTGTCCATGAATTACATCAAAAAAGTTGAATGGGGTCGTACTTAAAATAGACTTTGAAAAGGCTTATGACAAAGTCAAATGGCCCTTTCTTCAACAGACTCTCAGAATGAAAGGATTTTCTGCAGAGTGGCGCGCAATGATCCATAGCTTCGTTTCAGGAGGCAATGTTGCCATTAAGGTCAATGATGACCTTGGCCACTATTTTCAAATGAAGAAGGGATTGCGACAAGGTGACTCGATATCGCCCATGCTATTCAATATAGTGGCGGATATGCTAGCAGTCATGATTGAGCGTGCCAAGGCTGATGGACAAATTGATGGGTTAGTAAATCATCTAGTTGATGGTGGCCTCTCCATACTTCAATATGCCGATGTAAGTGCATCTAGTGCCACCCCTAGTTGGTTTTGGAGTATTGACGACAAATCTGGTTGAGGGACTAATGTGTTTGTGAGAATTGCAGGATAACACAGGTAGTAGTCCCTCATTGATTCGGTTTACCTACCGGAGATGACCCCTAAAAATGTATGAAGACATTGACGACAATGGTGGTATGTGAAGATATTCATATTGAAGACTATGACATGAGAAGACATTGAGTGAAGACTATGGAGCGCGAAGACTGAGTCGTTTCTTTGTTTCCTTTTCTTCTTTGTTGAGTCATAGGAACCACCGTACTGTTAAGTGGGGTCCAAGTGAACAAAGTCAGAGTGACTGAAGTGATGCTCAACCCAAATCCTATGTCTTCGAGCGAAGACAATGAGAGCAAATCTTATCCAGAGCTGGATGAGTCAGCTTTGCTTGCAGCCCAAGTAAAGTTGCCGTGTGTGTTAGAAATCTGACCGTTGGAACACGTGTCAGTTCCTTAGTGACCCAGGGTCATTTCAGACATATCAGGTCGGGTTGCCTAGTGGCTATAAATAGCCCACCCCCTACACCATAAATTGGTGGTTGCTCAGAGTTAGTGCACGGCTTTTGTCGTATTGAGAGCAACCCACCTCGAAGCCTTTGAGAGAGAGAAATCCTTGCGAGGACAAAGCCCAAACACCCAGAGCCAAAGAGTGTTAGGCATCACTGAAGTCTTTCTGTCTACGTGACCTGAAGACTTATTACACTTGAGGACTGTGAATCCTCCAGCCGATTAGGCGTCTCGTTCTGAGCATCCAAGAGTCATTGTGGATCACCGGTGAACGAAGTATGTGAAGGTTTGGAAGTCTACCTTGAAGACTTACCAGAGTAATTGGGCGAGGACTAGGTGTCCTTAGCTCAAGGGGAATAAGGTGAAGACGTGGTCTTCTGAGTTGAATCTTAGCCTCCCTAACCAGACGTACAGTTGTCACAGCAACTAGAACTGGTCCAACAAATCATGCGTCCTCAATAAGTGACTGGTTCTATCCTCTCCCTCTCTTTACTTAGAGTTTTTCTTCGTGAAGTCATTGCCTGTTTGCTGTACCTATTTGTCTTCACTGTCTGACTATTTTCGTAGTTTGGCTTCATACCTTCTTCCATCTTGATCCTTACTACCTAGTTGTTGTTAGTCTTCGTATTTTCACCTTATTGCATACTTGACTATGGCTTGCTTAGCGTAGTTTATCTTCCGCTGCATATCAATAGGGTCATTTCTATTTTTTGTCTTCGAAACTACCATGTTTTGAAGACTTTCATAAAAATCGCCTATTCACCCCACCTCTAGTCGATAACAAGCACTCTCAATTAGTATCAGAGCAAGGTACTCCCTTGTTCTGTGTGATTCGGTTTAACCACCTGGAGTTTTAGCTATGTCGACTGGAGGGATAATCAAAGTCTCCGCTGCTTGCCCCGTCTTTGATGGAACTGA